AAATCAACCCTTCTATAAATAAAGAAAGATTTGAAGATACAAATTAGAAATTTTTCTAATATAGAAAATATCATGTAATCAGATATGTCTATCTATGTTACCTAATATCAAGTTTCTTAATATAGAAAAAAATCATCTACTTAGATATTATCTAATTAAGTTACCTAATATCAATCTTCCTAACATACAACTATAAGATTTAATACTTCTATTTCTATAACAAAATGTGGTTATATTTCAAAAAAAATTGGTTGCATTAGTATTAAGTATTGAAACACTCGCATACTCACTTGAGACATAAGAGAACAAATCAATCTTGATATATCATAAAGATTTTGATTGCATTCAATTGTATTAATATTTTTGTTTGTTAAATTACAGTTGTTATGATTGTAATCACCTTATTATTATAGAAATAGTATAATTGCTTTGATTTAACATAAACCTTCTCACTGTGGTTTTATAAATTTTGTGCAACAATAATGGTGCAAGTGAGTTGAGCCAACTAGTGAGTCAATTTTGGCTCGTCTTGATAAATGGCTCATGAGCCGAGCCTGACGAGCAAACGAGCCAAACTCAATTAGATTTCCCTAACACGACTCATTAACTCTGAACAATGTTTGATCATGATGTAAAAAATGATTTGAACACCTATCCGTACCATTTCAGATCAAATTGTTTGATCATGATTCAAAGCATATTTGAGCATGATTCAAAATTATTCAAATATGATGAAAATAATAATAATAATAATAATAATAATAATAATAATTTGTATAAAATTTTAACGTGTTATGATAATAATTTCTTATAATAAAGACTTAAAAATATTATGATATTTCGATGAAAAATAAAATTTGGGATATATATTTTTTTAACAATATACTCCGATTTCTTTTTCAAAATTAGATTTTGACTTCGTAGAATGAGAAGAGATCATGCCACCAACTATTTGAATCCGGCAAAATACGAAAAATTATTGCGTACATACACCGCATGCAGAGATGCATGCGGTGTCCGATCCTGACTGTAGATCACGTGATCTATGGTCAGGATGTATTTCGATGGGCCCCACTTAAATTTTTTTTTTTTCAAAAAAATTTTGATTGCATCATTACCGTAGATCACCGTGATCTACGGTCATGATCGGACACCGCATGCATCTCTGCATGCGGTGTATGTAAGCAATAATTTCTCTCAAAATACAATTTTTTTAAGAAAATTGGCAGAAGCAAACGGGTTGGCGGTTAATAACTTTTTTCTCTTAACTAATTATTTTTTAATAATTTGAATTTATTTATTTATTGATTTATTGTGAGTCATACAAATTATATATATATTTTTTACTTTTTTTTTTATATATTTATTATAGAATTTAATATTTTTTTCAGTTGAAAGGGCAAACATCAACTTCTTTATAATCCTTTTTGGCTAGAGAAAGATGTCGGGTCATATATTGTTCGTGAATTTATAAAACTCAGAAGAGATCTGCGCAAGGAAGTTGAAAGAAAATAATGGATGTTTGCTCCGAACTACGTGTTATGTTTTCCGATCCACCTCTGATAGAGTGGATAAGATTAATAATCAGGAAGAGGGAACAAAAAGTGTTCCGTATGAGTTGTGCCGCAAGATCCCCACAAAAAGGCTTGAAGTGGCCCTCCTTCTCCCATCTTCAACTCCTTTTTATACATGTATAAGTAAATATTAAAATACAAGTCATGTCGTATAAAAAATGTGTGTCAGGTGGTCTGATAATAGAAAAATTATTCCGTGCGGACACCGCATGCAGCATGCACTGCATGCGGTATCCAATCTCCACCGTTCATCACAGCTTCGATGAGATTTTTATTTAAAAAAAAATTAAAAGTAAGTACCGCGGAGATTGGAATATTTGTTCTGCTGAGGAGACTAGCTAGGCCCATGAGGCCTGCTAAGTATGAGCATGGGACAACAACATTTAAACTCAGAAAGATAATAAAAACGATGCGTACTACCATCCTCCTCAGCTACTTCTATATTGATTATCACTAGATATATATATATATATATATTAAGAATCAATATATATATATAATTTAATTTTTAATCGTACTTACTATTCCATAAACCCTGACATTACTTTCTTAAATTTACTTATAATATTTTCACCAATTATTTTATTTATTTGGAGAAAGAAATCTCACTTTTTGTTGTAATATATATATATATATATATATATATATAAAATGAACTATGAACGCCATCGTTAAAATGCTATTTCTGTCATTTCCTGTTAAAAATGTTTACAAAAATGCAAACTTAGGGAAATTAAAAAATTGTTCGCATTTTTTTGTGAATACAAAACTGTTAAATTCCAATAACAGATTTTGGATAAAATATTCTGTCCGGATACTACACATCAGGATGGCCAACCACAGGCGATCACATCTTCATACTAAAATTATTCAGACATGTTAATGCTAAAGCAATTATTCAGACAAATAAAAAAACTGTTAAGCAGAATTCTACTTGGCGTTTTTGTCCACTAAACTGTAAAGAGTGGCTAGGAGTGTGAGCTTCAGTCACCCTCGACTTGAGCTTGATTAGTTTTATTGAGCTTGAGCTTAAGCTTAGGTCTACCAATTCAATCCCGCTCACGAGCCAGGTTGTTTATTATAAAAAAGAGAATATAATATTAATTTAAGCACGAGCCACGTTGTTTTATTGGGAGCTACACAATTTGTGGGCTGCATAGACTGTAATTGGCCACGTATGTCATAGCTATTTGCAATGATATTAGTAGGCCACAAGGGCAGAGTCAGGAGCTGTATAAATGTATGCGAGGTGCGTCATTACCCCATGTTCAAGATGCGTTGTTGCACCGCTTTGAGGACAATCAGGTGTACGGGATGATGCGCTGCTTCACATGCTTCAGTTGTATAAATGTTGCTTCGTGACTCCATGACTTCAGTTGTTGCTTTGTACGGTGCTTCATCACGAGGAGTGGGCGGCGACGGATGGTGATCGAGAGCGACCGATGAGAGGTGGTCAACGGTTGTTGGTGGTGGTCGATTGCTGCAGGAGTAGGAGACAACTTCAGCTACATCTCCAAGCTTCAATCTTCTTTATGCTTCAAGCTCTCTCCTCCCTCATTTCAAGAGAGAGGTAGGACTCTATTTATAAAATCCCGGTTGCAATTAACAAAGAAATATTAATCACTTTGATTTTAGGTCAGTTTGACCATAAGCATACCAAATTTGTCACATGTCTGGCCTTCAAAAAGTTATCAGGAAAGCTTCCAAAGTGATTTAATGACTTTTTCTAAGCTTGATTTGACTCAAATTAGACCAATTTTGATATTATTGGACCCGTCTCCTCGAGTCTGTCAGATTGACTATAAGTTTGCTGAAGACGAAGTTCTGGATAAATTTTAATTTAAGTTTAAATATTTCTTCCCTAAAAAAGTGCATCGAGATCTTTGTCATGCCTCAAAATTTATGAAAGTTGTAAGATATATAAATACATAATAATTGAATAGAATGTACGTAAACTTCAAAATGGGTATATAGATTACACGGAGCATATATGTGCACTTGATAACTTTAATCAATAAGAATTTTAAACCCATATTAACAAGGAGAGAATAGCATAGAACTTTCACATCTATACCAATTACCACTTTTTAAAAAAGGATAATGATGTCTTAAGAATTGCTTAAAACTTTTTCCAATAAAGAATTAATTAACTTTTATTTAAAAACTTGAAAAAGCAATTTAAAAAGCTTATCTAAAAGTGTGCATCGCTATCAGCTAACAAACTTAGCTAAAGAGGCACGTGTTTGTGTACTGAAGAATTTAAGGCTTTGGAATAAGGAATCCAAGTTGGCATCCCTCTAGAAGCCACTAGCCAACAAGGTAGGTCCGGCAAGACCTAAATGCTCGCAGGCTAAAGCATGTGTCTAGTAAGATAAATTGAACAATACAAAATAACAATATTATCATTATTTTCAAAAAAATAAACACACTACTCTCCTTAGGCTTAGCTCTTGTTTGGCCAGTTCAAAATCGTGTTTGAAATTGTTAGCGAAAAGTGTCCGTGTTCGACTCAAAATTGACTTATTTAAATTAATTAGAAAAAAAAAAAAGTTTAAGGTATTGGCTTCGAATCTGCATAATTTCTATGCAATAAAAAGACACATAATCACACGCCACACAAGCTATAGTGATTTAAAATTAGATATAAACATATATAATATATTATTATATAAATAATATATATAATTTCTAAGATGAACCCGAACACGAGCAAACAAAAGACTCTTCGTGTTCTACTCGTTTATAATTCAAACTTAAAAAGTTTATTTATGTTTGGCTCACCTGATTAACAAATGATTCAAATATGAGCTGCTCAAAGAACCAAACACGATAGCAAACAATAAGCTTTTTTGACAACACTACTGCCCGATCACGAGATTAATGATATACCCTTGGGAATGTCTGGCAACGTATTTATGTATGATTTAACATAAATCTTGCTAAACAAAAAAAATATTATATATATATATATATAATATGGAAATCATTTAAAGAAGTAGTAAAAGTAAGAGAGCATTGGTAAGCCTTTCCAGACAGGTGCTACTTCAAGGTTCTAAGAAAGCATCCAAACACTTCTAGTAATGCCCAACTTTTCCGCACTAAGGGCTAAGACCAATAAAAAAGAATCTAAAGAACCATACAGTTCAGAGGAAAAGATTGAATTGAAGACCAGAAAGTATTCGCTGGTGAACTTATCCATCATGATCATAACAAATTCCAACAAAAAACTTAGAAATCAATAAATGTTCAAGGATGAAATTTCATCAGTCTAAGCTGTTATTATTCCTACAAAATAGTCAAATTAATTTATCACAAGGAGGTTTAATAACAAAAAACAAAACTTACAGGAGTTAATCACATTAGAGGGCCAAAATGTTAACAACAGGATGGGAAACCAAACAGAAATGCAAGAGCACAAGATATAGCATCAGGCAACCAGACTTCTTCAAAGCAAAAGAGATTCTATGAACAATACAATGCCAGAATAGAACTGATTTCGACTCGATAACTAAGACAACCTGCAACAAAATCAAGCAAATAACACTTACAAAGAAGTCAGGTTGAAAGGCATCATTGAGTAATCTAAAAAAGACTCACTCAGGAGCACATTCGGAGAGCTTTTCTTTCTTTTTTTTATTCTTCCTACAAGTAGAGAAAGAAACCAAACAAAGATGTCCAAAGATATCACCTGAAGCCTGCTTTAAGTGTATTACTAAAGATATTCAGCACCTCAACCCCGAAACCAGCTACTCAATGCATTCCCTCCAACAACCAGAGAAGATCCATTTCAGAAAAACCATCCTGATCCATTTTGACTTTGCAGAGACTGCACCATTCCTCTAGGTAATGAATCTGCAAAGTCCATTGATTGCATGGTGTAAGGTGATTCAAATTTCAACTCATTACTGATGTCATTCGACGAAGCCTGCTGATAAGAATGGTTCATCTGCACCAGATCCTCCTGGAAAGGATAGAACTGTGAATTGTTTGGTCCTTCAAAGAGATCACCACCAACTCCATTCATGGAGCCATAGAAGTTGTTTCCAGCTTGTGCTGTCGGCTGAATAGAACCAGTGTTATGCTCATTGGCCAAGGGTACCTCGCTGTTTATGTTGCCTTCGTACTGATTCATCAGCTCAATGATTGACTTCTGCCCGTCATCTGGAATGCCTATGCCAGATATATCAAAAGGACTGGAGGTGTTGATAACTGCAGGCTGCAAGCCAGTTGGATTCAACTTGGACTGTGCAAGAGAAGAAGCACACATGATCTGGGGCTTGTTCTCATTCGCTTTGAAACCAGCCGTGCAGAAACTAGGCAGACTTGTCTGATAACCAGATAGAAATTGGTGATTGTTAGATCTCACGCTTCTATCCATGAACCCAAGTTGATAATCACTCCGTGCAAATTTAGACTTTTCGTTATTGATAATTATGCCTTGATTCGACATAATTTCTGGATCGGATTTCGCAGACCGCTTTCGGATGAACTCCCTGTAGCCTTCCTCCTTAACAGCATTGTGTGGCACCACATAAAGATCATTTCCTGAGGACGTGCCAGTGTTGAAAACATTGCTGACATCCACTAGATTTGTGTTCCCTGCATCCTCACTTTTTCCATCATCAACCCCTTCAACATCATATTCACTGCAGCTGCTGCTGAATGAGATGGTTCCATTGCGGTTGCTAACTGAAGATGGGGGGAGAGAAGCATCGGGATGGAGCTCCCTGAACAAGATCTCCTCCTGCATAACAACAGCTAGCCAGGTTGCACTCTCCTTGGCAGTCATTTTGTCCTGAAGACACTTCGACTGCCTCACCAGCCTACGAATCTTCTCAATATCAGGAGACATGTGTTTAATAACAGCAGTGAGAACTCCAACCTTCCAAGCCTTCTTGAGATCATGAGGTTTCTTATATGGAGGCGGTGGCTGATCATTGGTGAAACCCAATTGAGGCCACCAATCCTCATTTCCTGTAGGCCACCATGGTGGTGAGATGCCCTTCTCCAATGGAAACCGACGTTGTGGAGGATCACAATGCTGCATAAGAGCAGATAAGAGTGATCCCAATGTGGTGTCCTGAAGCTCTTGCAAGGAGTAGGGGCTCACAGGCCTGGAGTTTTGCTCATTGTTAAGGCCCCTTAACCCATTGTCAGCCTGGTACTTAGCAATGGCAGCAGGTCCATTACGATCAAATCTTACCTTCTCCTTCCACCACCCACGGAGATTATCTGAAGCACCGCTCACAGGCTTTCCCTTCTCTGGTATGATTCCATATACAAATCCCTGAGCTTTACAAACTTCCATCATCTTCAGCATGTATTTGAGTATTCCATCCTGTGCTCTGGACATCTTTTTCCTCCTGGCTTGTTCCTGAGACTGGCGTTGCTTGGTGGAATCCCCGAGCTCCTTGTTCTTGTTCTGCTGCCGCTCTTTTAGTCGTTTAAGCCTCAGCCTGTCCCTCCACATACGGCGCTCTAGCTCTTCCACATCAAGATCTTCATCACTCTCATAATCATCTGGTATGGGTTCAGGAAAGTTTTCAGGTGGCGGCTCCACCAGATCGCCATCAATTACAGATGAATCACCACATGCAGTGTGCTGCAGATGACCGAAATCAGGAGGAGGTTGTTGCAGTATTGAGTGGTAACCACTACTTTTGTCATGGCCAGTAGAAATGAATTGGCTAAAATCTATGCCGCCAGAGAAGGTCATGGCCTCAATAGCAATCCCACCCATGAAGTCCAAACACAACAGCAGATTAGGATAATATAAACCGTGGATTGAAGTTGGAAAATAAAGAAGCAAGCAGCCTGCAACCATGTTGTCCAATAATCATTACACAAGCAAGTCAATTAATATCAAGTGCAAAGATTATTTAGAAAAAGTAAATATAGCGCTTATTTGATCCTGGCTTGAATAATAGCAACATGAATTACTGCAATTCCATGACTAACAGAAAAAATTTTCTTTATTGAGAAACTAATAATGATATAAGTCAAAACAATTACTAATGAACTTTTTCAAGCATTTTGTTACACATTTCTATAAGCGACTTAGGACTGGCCAAACAAAATGCAAAAACTTAAGCTTTGAAAGAAGATCCTAAAGTTGTTTGCCTTTTGTTTGTAGGCATTTACATGCATACTACCCAATACCTACGCGTTTACATATCTAAAACCTAAACTTGATTTTTACATTTATACCACCCAAATCTTTTATCACATAAAAAATACCACTATTTTAACTTTTACTTTTAAAAAGTGAAATACACATATTTATGCATAAATAATTTGGTATATATGTAAAAACTGAAGTCTATGAGCTAGATATGTAAATCGATGGGAATTAAGTAGTATGTACATAAATCTTCCTTTTTTTTTTCAGTTGTGGTGGAGGTGCTGGAGTAGTATAGGGAGCCATAAATTTGCAAAATGCATATTTGCATTATAAGTCAAAGTTAGCAACTTCTCAAACATTTATTAAGAAAAGAAACACAATCCGTAATAACAGGAATCATTACAATTTAGGTTCTTAAAAGTTAAAAAAAATTCTATTGGAGTGCATAATGAAAAGAATTAAGAAAAACTATAAGAATTTTCCTTGTTATTCAATAATGAGAATTACACTTATCAAAGAGAAAAAAAAAAAGTTTCTTCCAACAAAAGTAAAGCCAAAGATCAGAAGTACCTTAGAGCATATAAGAAAACAGAAACAGAACAATCTTAAATTAAATAATCATCTAATACAGAAAGCTTAAAGATTAAAAAACCATGCAATTGAGGAAATAGCAAAACTATCCCCAGTGAGAGGGGACAAAAAAAAGGAAAAAAAGAGAAAATTTAGACAGTTTCCCTCATGCAGCAAAAGAAAGAGGCCATTTTTCCACCGACAATAACTACAGGTTGTTTGGCCTAAGGGTGCCTAATTTAGTAAAGCCTAAGGGTGCTCAATCCTGAAAATCAGCTGGTGCAACAATTATTAAATCTCCTAAATTATGATAAATTGTTTTGTTCTCATTATTCTTACACAAAGACAATGTAAGAGGCAAAAATAAAATAAAATAAAATAAAATAAAAATTTGTACTTATTTCCATCATCATCATTTTCTATACATCAGCAAGTCAGACAACCTTTAGCTAACCCTCTGGACTCAACTTTTGTGGTTTTGATGTTTTGGATCATGTCCTTGTGATTCCCTCACAAGGGGCGTAGAAGACCAGCATCCAAAATATCTTTGCAGTTGAATCCCAAATTATATCCAGCTCTACAAAAATTTTATGAAATCCTGGATTACATGAATAACAGAGGTAAAACAGGATGGTTTCCCAAATCTAAGAATTTAAAGATGCTTAAAATAATTCAGTAAGATTCAAGCTAAATCCTTGGTAAATCCTACCAGGATCTTGCTAGCAAACAACCGCTTAATCTTCGTAGCATAATTTAAATGGAATTCAGCCATGGATTTTGCGTAAATCCAGAAAACATTAATAAAACAAAAAAACAATAATTAAATCCAATCCAGAAAACATTAATAAAACAAAAAAACAATAATTAAATCCAATGATCCATTAAGTCGAATTTTTTCGCATTCGGTTGCTTCTTCCCACGTTCCGTCTCTATTAGGATGTAAATCCGGATTTGGTAAATCCGATTGTGAGACGGATTTAAGAATTACTTTTTATCGGCCCTCACTAGCTCATCTCCACTATCAGATTTAATGGATTTGATAAATCCTATTTAAGGTAAATTCAAGTTGCAACCAAACACAACTTAATATATTGCCACTCAAAGAATATAGATGAATCCTATAGTTTTAAGAGCTCGCTGGTAGGGCTGGCAAAACGGCTCGTTGTTCGCGAACAGCTCGTGTTCGACTCATTAAGAAGCTTGTGTTCGACTCGTTAATTTTGTTCGATCAATTAACGAGCCGAACACGAACAAAGATGTGTTCGTTCGTGTTCGTCTCGTTTTGGCTCGAAATACTACTCATCAAGTTTATATATATATATAAAAGTAGTATTTTAAAAAAATCTCATTGACTACAAGTTACAAAGATTTATGATCAATTAAAGTATTGATTAAGAAAATAGAATAAAAATTCTTAAATTAGATTCAAATGATGTTTTAATATAAATAATAATTTTTAAATCTTGCTCAAACCCTTATCGTCTTATGACTACGTGATTAGAGCTGTTAAAAGACTCTTTCTTCATGAACAGTGTTCGGCTTTGAGCTCGAAATATAAACGAGCCGAACACGAGTGAGCCATGTTTACACCCCTACTCGCTGGTTTGTTTGCGAAAAAAAAATGGTTTTTAAGGAAATTATGATTTTACTTTTACTCCTTTTGGTCTTTGAACCGAATCATTGTAAGGGATTTCAGGAGAATTTGTAGGGTTTATAATCGTTGTTGATTTCTAAATGACGAATCTGATAAATTTCATCATTTCGAATGCGTTTTCTAATTCAAGCAAACGAATGGTCCCTCACCGTAACTGAAGGTCATAAAACAGAGCGTTAATCGAAGAAGCAATACTGAGAACACGGAACAACAGCGAAAAGACCAGAAGATTAAATACAAACAAAACTTTGTCTCCTAGGGAATAAAAACAATTAAAAGTTTGGATCCATTAGCAAGATCAGAATCCAGATCTAGTATGATAAACATACAAAACTTATACAATTAAACTCAACCGAAGACACGGCATGGTATCAATATTAAAGACTTCGGATACTACGAAACCGATGAATCAGACTCCATCCACTCTGCCGAAAAACTCCGAACCGAATAAATATGAGTAAAAAACACAAAGAATTCAAGCAAATCCTCCACAACAAAGCCTGACAATACAAATCGAATCATAAACCCACCCTAATTTCAATTAAAAGAAAAAATTGCATCAGACTAAACAAATTACTGCAAAGAACACAGTATAAATAGTTCCTCTAAAACCGAGAAGGATAACAAGAAGCTCAAACACATTAAAGATGAAAACGAAACAAGAAGGCAAACCTCTTCCGACACTCCTACTCCATCATAACTCCACAAGAAAACAGAGCACGCAGACAAGAAGAAGATATGGGGGAAGAAGACCAGATGATGATTATGGTGAGTGTCTTTCGCAGCAGAAGAATAGCTTACAGTCTTCTCTCTCTCTCTCTCTCTCTCTCTCTCTCTCTCTCTTCTGCCTCTGTGGACGAGGTGATGTGAGATTGCGCGCTAGTAAAAAGCGTTAGTAGCGGTGGAGAAACGGGAAGGGGAGAGCGGACCGCCGTCACAGTTAACCGTAGTTAGACTTTGACTGGCGAAGTTACCCGCGGTGGTAGGAAAAGTGTGCCATTTTCGCAATTTTCTATTTTACAATTAAACCCCCCCCCCCATAAAAAAATTATAAATAGGTCCTTCCATGAATCGTTAATTATCGTAACGTTAATGGCTCGCTTTATCAATTGTCGGGTTGCTAACATTATTTGTGGAAATGTTTGGGTATGTCCGGATAATAATTTAATTAATACAAAGTTTAAAATTATTTAACTTTATTTGAATTTAATGTAAATAGACAAAATATAAATACTCAATTAATTTTTATATTACATATTAATTAGCATATTAATATCATCGCATAAGTTAAATATTTATGGTAAGAATTTTCTATGATTAGTATTGTAAAATTTCCTCATTATTGAGGATATTTCTCTTTATTGTGTTTTACTTTATTGTTTTACACTCTTATCTTAACCATATTTATGGATATGTTTGTACTGGTATTAGAATCAAATAGGCAAATTTATAATTCCTTAACATTTTCACAAAAATAAGTAAATAAATATCCAACTAGATCTCACATGCAATAAAGTTGAATCCTCTTTGGAGCCATTATTCAAAGCACCACAACTCAAGCCCTACATGGCCACCACATTCCTCGCCGTCCTAAAGCTGCCTTACACTAGCTTCTTGTTGCTACCATCTTCTTGAAGAAAAATCATCAATTCATGTCGTAAGGTATCTCGACGAGTTGCTTACCACGCTCCTCGCACTACGGGAAAAATTTATTAAAATAGGAGGAAAAATCTATAGAAATTTTCGGTGAGCTTACTTCTGATTGAATATGTGGCTGACAAATTTTGTCAGTATTTCACCACTCTCATTCTTCTCTCTCAACCAATCGAGCCATAAAGCAATCACTGATCATCTCAAATAGCTTTAAATTTGCCTTTCATCCTTGTTTTTAGGTCTCATGTTGTCTTTTGTGAACACGCCTCGAGAGATAGAACCAAGTGAAGGAAAAAAAAAAAGTGAGTAGAACGGATCAGGAATTTGTTGTAAAGAGAATCCAGAGGAGAGAGTGAAACCGTCCCATTTATTCGTTTTTTTACTCTTATTTATTTGAGTGTATTTTGTACAATTAGAAGAATGAGGGAATAGTTATGGAAACCATTCTTAATATGATCAATGTTCTAATTAATTATATATATTTTATACCATATATGTATTACAATTTGCATATTTAACATGACAGTAATTGGTTGGGCCTACTTATCTGAGTTTGGCTGATTGAAGCAACCATTAGAGTGACGACTATGCCTTTCAAAATGCATGTCGATCGGTTGAGGCACTCGGTCATATAGCGTCTAGCTCGCCACGAGTTAGCTGTGCAACGGTAGTCGAGTGCTCCCGTATGCACTTCAAGCGACCAGGGTTGCATCATAATCTGTTGGCTAAAACCTTTGTTATAGTGTGTCACTTGATCCTAATCGTGCAACCAATCGTTGATTGGTCAGATGCTTCAATCGTTCGGTCGTTGTTTGGACAGTCTAGTTGCTTTGAGATTTGTGTTGATATTTCTGGTGTATACATATTAGTTCCCTGTGTTTTCCTGTTTCTTCATAGCGTCAACTATAATAAGGATAGGGAAATTAATTGAATAATTGCTAGCATTAAATTCATGGAATGATTGAACATTTAACTTCTCTTGGAATTTCATGCTCTGTGTGCTCTATAAGTGGGCATGAACCGAGCCTTATATCATTTGTGTTGAGAAAATTAGGGCAAAGAAAATAGTAAACGACACAAATCCAGAAGAACACAGAGATTTGACGAGGTTCGGCAAAGATGCTTACGTCCTCGGGAGCAGAGCGACGAGAGTTTCTTTCACTATCTTTCACTATTCAAAAAAGATGTTACAGAATAGAGAGATACCTTATGGGGTTACTAACAAGCCTATTTATAACCTCAGAAGTAAACCCTAGGCACAATATGTAATTACAGCATTACCCATGTACCATATCGCGGGGTTTTGCCCCCGCACCCCAACCCACATAACTTTCCAATTTGGACAGATTCTTCCGCTCCGCTTCGATCCAGCGTCTGTCCCTATATGGTATATGAGTCATACCATAACAAATCTCCACCTTGGCGAATATCCAGCCCCTTATGAGAAAAATACCTGGGAATTACACCTGCACCACTGTGGGTTGGGCCACCATGCTTCTCTAGCAACAACAAACATTCAACAAGTCCAAGCAATGCAAGAACTTGTTGATAGTAGCTAGCTTGGTCAATATATCAGCTGCATTCTCATCAGTATGAACCTTCTGCAATAGTATCTCCCCAGAAGCAATCAACTCTCTGATCTTGTGATACCTGACATTAATGTGCTTGTTCTCGCATGGTACATCTGGTTCTTAGCCAGATAAATAGCACTCTGACTGTCACAATGCAACTGAACTCCACCTTGCTCAATGCACAGTTCCTTTACTAGCCCAGTAATTCATAAGGCTTCTTTAGCAGCTTCAGCTACTGCCATGTACTCAGCTTTAGTTGTAGATAATGTCACAATAGACTGAATTGTTGATTTCCAACATATAGACCCTCCACCAAGAGTAAACACATACCCAGTTGTAGACCTTCTGTCATTCAAATCACCTGCATAGTCTGAATCAACATACCCCACAACTGAAGAATCATTCTGCTGGCTGCCAAAAATAATTCCATCAGATACCTGAAAATCCACTTGACCACTTCCCAATGTCGCCTTCCAGTTTTAGCCATGTATTTGCAGACTTGACTAACAGCATGAGCCAAATCAGGACGAGTACAAACCATAGCATACATCAAGCAGCCAACTGCACTGGCATATGAAACATTTGTCATGTCTTGAATTTCTGTATCAGTCTTAGGATACTGTTTTGAAGAAAGCTTAAAATGATTTGCCAAAGGAGTGCTCACAGGCTTTGCATTGCTCATATCAAACCTTTCCAGTACATTCTCAACATAGCCTCGTTGAGATAGACATAATCGACTTGAGCCATTGTTTCGATGAATCTTCATTCCAAGAATCTTCTTCGTAGATTCCAAGTCTTTCATGTCAAATTTCTGGCTCAATAAAGCTTTCAAACAACGGACATCATTCATATTCTTTGCAACAATCAGTATATCATCAACATAAAGTAACAGAAAAATAATAGAATCATCATCAAGGCTCTTCACATGAACACAACAATCATACTCACATCGTCTGTAGTCAATCTGCATCATGTAGGAGTCAAACCGCTTGTATCATTGTCTTGGAGACTGTTTCAACCCATACAATGATTTCTTTAACCTGCGGACCAGATGCTCCTATTCAGGTTGAGTGACCCTTATGGTTGCTTCATGTAAATCTGCTCCTCCAAATCACCATGCAAGAAAGCAGTTTTAACATCCATCTGCTCCAAATGCAAATCCCAAATAGCTACTAATGCAAGCACTGCCCTGATTGAAGTATGTCTGACCACAAGAGAAAGGATTTCATCATAATTTTTCCCCTTCTGCTGTGAAAATCCCTTTGCAACCACTCAAGCCTTGAACTTTTCCCCTTCTTTTTCTGATACTATTGGTTTTCTTTTCTAGACCCATTTGCACCCAATGGCCTTCTTTCCCTCTGGAAGCTAAACTAGCTCCCAAGTGCGATTTTTCTGCAAAGACTCCATCTCCTCAACAATTGCACCCATCCATTTTTCTTTCTCCTGGTTAGTGATAGCTCCTTGAAAAGTGGTTGGATCATCGCTGCTGATGAGAAGTGCACATGAGACTAAATTTTCATAACCCAATCTGCTAGGAGGCCTTACATTGACGTGTCTCTGTCTATCTCTGGCTAGATTGTAATTCTGCAGATCATCTGAAATAGAATCACCATATGTTGGATTTGAACTTTCACCTCTCTCAGAAGCTACTGACTGTTGTTCTAAATTCATCTGCACTACATCTGAACTAGAACTGTTCCCTGATACATTGTCTTGATTCTGCTGTAACATAATCTGCTCATCAAAAATTGCATCTTTATTGATCACCATCTTATTTGCAATCGGATCTCAAAACTTGTATCCTTTCACACCTTTCTTGTAGCCCAGAAAGATGCACTTCTTGGATTTTGGATCAAGTTTGTATCTTTCATCTTCAGGTACATGCACATAAGCAGGACATCCAAAAATTTGTAAATGATCAAATTTAACTGGATTACCTGTCCATACCTCTTATGCGATCTTGCAACCCAATGATGCTCGTGGTGATCTATTGATGAGATAGCATGTCATATTCACAGCCTCTGCCCAGAAACTCTTAGGAAGCCCTGCATTCAATCTCAAGCATTTTGCCCTTTTAGTTCAGGACATATTCATCCTTTCTGTCATACCATTCTGTTGTGGTATCTTCTGCATTGAAAAATGCCTCTGAATCCCATGCTCCTCACAGAACTTCTGAAACTGTGAATATGTGTACTCTGTGTCATTATCAGACCTCAAATAATTGATCTTTCTACCAGTTTGGTTCTCCACCTCAGCTTTCCATAGCTTGAATTTAGATAATATTTCAGATTTCTGCTTTAAGAAATACACCCAAACTTTCTTGGAGAAATCATCAATAAAGGTAACGAAATACTGAGATCCTCCCAATGACAACTCCCTAGTAGGGCCCCATACATCAGAATACACGTAATCAAGGATTCATTCAGTTTTGTGCTTTCCAGTCATAAAACTGACTCTGGTCTGTTTTCCAAGAATACAGAACTTACAAAGATCGAGCTTGCAGCTTTTAACCTCATGCAACAGATTTCTTCTATGCAATTCTGTCATTCCACGTTCACTGAGATGACCTAGACGCATATGCCATAGCTTTGTGCTGTCATTATCTGATTCAACAGAATGAACTCCACCTACAACTGTACTCCCTAACAGTCTGTAAATATTACTTGCAGTCAACTTTCATTTCATCACCGTCAGTGCACCCTTAACAATTCTGATGATTTCCCT